ACCTCTCACTTGCTAAGGGAATGGGGATAACAAAAATTAAAGTCAAGTTTGACTCACAACTCGTGGAAAATCAATTCCAAGGTTCCTACTTGGCTCGAGACTCCAAGATGACAACTTACCTCAACCTGGTTAAAGAACTCCAGTCACCCTTTGAGGAATTTTCCATCGCTCAGGTCCCACTAACCAAGAACACTCATGTTGATGCATTAGCCAATCTCGGCTCTACCCTTCAAGCATCTTCATCAACATCCATTCCCTTACTGTATCTACAATGGTTGACCAGTTGGAAAAATTCTTCATTCGAAATTTCAGCTAGCAGTAAGGGTCCCTCGTCTAAAGTTTCAATTATAAACTTTATCGACTCATGGATGACACCCATGCTTCAATACTTAGAGAATGATGAACTTCTACTTGATAAGAATGAAGCACATCGACTCAGATTCAAGGTAGCTAGGTTCACCATCCACGAGGGTCAGTCACTAAAGAAGTCTTTCTTTGGTCCATACCTTAAGTGCATCACCCCGGAAGAAGTTAACCATGAGCTTGTTGAACTTCATGAAAGTGAGTGTAGAGATCATGCTGGGGGATGCAACCTTTCCCACCAAGTGATAATGTTAGTGTATGCCCTAAGAACCAATCATGTTGTCGATTTTAGGACATTATATCTTGTAAATGTATTATGAATAAAAGAAAGTGTTCTTATTTTACATGTTGATTTTCTGCTTCATTTATATTATATTATATTTAATATTGCATGTGAAATATCCGGATGACATGGATCTTCAGAAGATCAAATCATCAAAGAATTCCCTACACAAGTAATGTTAATTGGGCAATAACAATGCATAGCAGGCATGTTGAATGTCTCCATTGAATATCATGTTATGGTATTAGTGTGGGTGATTATAAGAGGTATGTTACTAAGGCATTAGCATGGATAAACGGTTAGTGAACTGTTTATCGAATACGACCAATTACGATGAATCACATGGATGTGGTCAATGATGCATCGTAGGATTGTGCTAGTGTACCACTGATCCTTAGACCTGAGACATCACAATTGGATTCAACATAGGATGCATATGGTTCTTATGGTGTATAAGCACAAGACTAGTCATGTCTTGTGTAATAAGCTGGTTTGGTCATATGTTATTCATGTGCGAGGACAAGTGATGGTCAAGATGGGATCCGATAACTCAAAATAGTCAAATCTTGAGTTCCCAGACGAATGTTAATAAACATTAGAAAAGGAAAATCTTTGGCTAGAGTATAATGAATGTCAGATGAAAAGTAGTTTCATGTTTACGAGTTTCATTGTATCGATTGACAATTCGATTAAAGATTAAGTTAAGGGTTTTGACATACCATAAACCATTCTTAATCGAGATTAGATAACGGAGGGATTTAACTACATGATATGTACGATCAAAATAGGTTCATTGGAGTTTACACTTCATTGTTGTTTAGGGGTTATGAAACATTACTAGACGTCTACCATAATCAGTAGGAGTTTCCATTATAAAGAGTTATAACGAAACATATCAAAATCCGATATTGGGCCCACGGCTAGATTACAGTGAACCAAAATGGTCACACATAAAACCAAGCTCAAGAAGAGAGAGTAATACATATTATTAATCAAATTAATGATGTTTGGATGTAAATAGTGCATCCGAATTAATGTATTGGTGAGAAATGATTATCCATGGACAGCTAGCACTAACCAAGGGTAATAAGGATTTATTAAATATTATTATTGAATCGGATTCAATAATGGGAACAAAAATGCATTGGTTTTATTCTAAAGAGTTAGAATATTTAATGGGATTAAAATTTAGGCTAATTATGAATTAACCATAAAACCAAGGACTTGACATAAATGCTCTTTTCCAAGATTAATTTTAAAATTGTTTGAGGACTTCCCAAGACAATTTAAAATTACACTTTGTGCCCATGGTATAAACCAAGTGTTATACCATTTTCATAGAATTGAAAGAATTGAAACAAAATCACTCTCTCATTTTCTCTCTCACTCTCTCGGCTCTCTTTTCCTTGGCTTGTGTGGATCACATTTTGAGGTTTTTCAAGTTCACTTGAAGAACTAAGACTCCAAGAAAGAAGATTCAAGTGTTGAATGGCAAAGAAGTAGGTAATATTCCATCCTTACCTTGAAATTTTTTGGGCTCATGTGTTATGTTTGTGTTCTACCTTGCATCCATCATCTTGTCCATCATTTCTACACCTTTTCCATGTCCAAAATGCATAAATCCTAGCATATAATAGTCGACTACGATTGACCCACCATGTGATTGGACTTATCTACTTACGTAAAAAAGTGCAACAGTTGCCAAAGATTCGCTCAAGTATCCCACATTCCACCAGAGCAACTCAATTCCATCCTCATTCATTAGCCGTTCATGAAGTGGGGGATGGGCATTGTGGAGAAGCTTCCAACCGCAATAGGGTAACGAGTATACATGCTCGCGGTTACTGATTATTTCACCAAGTGGATTGAGGCAGAAGCATTCGCTCAAATCAGGGACCAATAGTAAAAAACTTCATATGGAAGAATGTCATTTGTTGGTTTGACATACCGGAGGAAATAGTCACTGACAATGGCTCCCAATTTATCAGCTTTGGATTCCAAGGATTCTAAGAGATGTGGGGCATCAAGCTAAGGTAACTACAATCGTTGCTTGGTTGTACATTTAACTGCTTCATGAGACTTGCACTCCTTCATGAGATTTGCACTCCACATTCCTGCGGTCAAGGTTTTCTGAACTTGAAGTTGGATCGATGAATTTCAAATAAGCTAATCAAGAGTGAAGACTAGGACCCCAAATTGATGACATCTGAATCAACTTGGTTTGGTTAATAATCATTTCCATGATTAAGTTATTGAGGAATCTTCGTCATTAATGGAGAAGCAACTAAGTGGTATGAAAACCCTTTTTTTTTTTTTTTTGGTGAACAACTCATAGTTGTTTATCACAACCATTTAATGTATAGAATTTATAAGGAAAATGAGATAGAGAGAGATAGAGGTGGATGTATATATGTACACAGAGTAAGCAAAAATGTAAAAGCTTTTCAAGTTGAGCATAATTAAATCACTGAACTAATCTTTTTCTCTTGCATCTATCACAAATTCGGGTTAAAATTCGAGTACCCAGTAATCGAACCGAAAAGGTCAAAACCGGGTCGTGTACCTAGTTTTGAACACACTGTTAGATCAGGTGCCTTAGAGCTTGTCAATTTAGTGTAATTGACTCTAATTTATCATGTTCATATATTAATTAAGCAATATTTATATTATGTAATTCGTATCTCGTGTATGTTATAACCATGTCCTTAGGATGGCAAAACCCTAACAAGGGAATTAGGCATTTTAAGTCTTGATTGTGAGATCCCTATAAACACATATGGTGGCCATTCTAGAAACGTCCATAGCCCTAGTATTATTCTAACCTAAGGTACAAATAATACGGTAAGACTATCATAGCGTTGAACAACCCCACTAGAAGGTAGTGATAGGTCTCACATGTCAAAGTTGTTAGGTAAAAACTTGGTGCAACACATAGGTGCTTACTAGATGCAAGTTCACTGGACTGACCCACCAAAGGATTCCATGCAGATGGTAAACCCATTGTCTATGGAAAAATTCTCTTAAGAATGGTGGTGCATGTGATCCTAAGACTTAAGATCACCGGACTGTTGTGTGTACGTAGTGGTGTGGTTTGACACTAGCCTAACGTAATCCTTTTTAGGGTTATCAGTATGGTGGTGATTGGCTACATCATAAAATGTATCATGGCTATGGTGGATCAACAAAGGATTCATCACTCCTGGTTTCGAGAAAAGTTATCCCATTGCGCAGTTTGGTTATATGGCAACGACCATAAAATTATTGCCACAATGGAATTGAATAGTTGCTCAAATCTGATTTAATTCCAGTTGTTAGTTCGATAACCAAACACCAAATACATCAAGGGGATGATCTAAGGATGACACTATTTCTATTTCTGAACTTTGATGAGATAATGAATGATGAAAGGATTGGATTACATGGTAACCATACCATTGACAATATCAATTCTTCCCAGATCTCTAATCATTGGGTAGCCATGACGCCTTGCTAGAGACTAATCTTGGTCTATGAATAATGAGACAATTAATTGGTTATTAATCGCGATATTACTCACTACCAACATGATAGGGAGCTTATGGGTCACACACATAAGAAAGGTGATTGCGGAATGTATATTTAGTCAAAGAAGGGTTAAAGGGTAATTTAGTAATTCTACATGGGTAGGCACCTATGTGTATTAATTGTGTAATAAATAAACTACCAAATTAATATTTAATATATTAGTATTGATTGTATTAATTAAATTACCCTAAGTAATATTAAATGTTTATATTTAATATTAATTGAAAAATAAAATTCCTAATTAGTTGATTAATATATATAATATATAAATGCTATTAGGAAACCTAATTAATAATATTCTTATTTGGTTTAGGATTAAAACCAAACAAGGAAAAGAATAGTATTGGTTTTAAATTGCCTATATAAGACAACTTAAATTAGGTTTAGAAAGAGAATTCATTCAATCAAAAATTGAGAGANTCCATCAGTTAATAGGTTAATATATTCATGATGTGGAAGATTTTTGATCCCATTATCAATTATGTTGAATGTTTGATAATGCCGGGTCTCTGGTGCTGACTGCCTTGTATTGGGTAATGGTATCTAAGGCTTGCATTAAGTAAGATATTTGCTTATTCTTTAGAAATATAGCTTGGTTAGTTAGCTCTACATTCATTTTTATATCTTACCACCCCAATTCTTAAGTTTTACTTTGCTGCAGTTTTTCATGTTCCAGCCTTGGCAGCTTTTCTGTTTCTTCGCCAACATGGAAAAATTATTCTGTCCTTGGTCCTGACAAAGGTCACACTTTGTTGGTCCTCTGCATAAGTGTCTCGTTTTTGAAATTTTTTTCCTTCTTTTTTTTTTTTTTTTTTTTGTTTTTGGTAATCTTGTTTAGTCCGAAAGCTGTTCTGGAAATAAAATGAATAAGCATGGAAGTCATCACTCTGTAGCATAAAAACGGATTGCATAATTTGGTCTCAGTTCTAGGGAGTGATTTGCATAAATCAGTGCTATACCACTTATTTAGAAATGGACTATATCAAAAAAAAAAATATTTGCTTAATCTGCTGTATGTCCATAAATTCGTAAGAAAAGTATAATGTACTGAAAAGACTTATTCATAGTGTGCAAAATTAATGATGTCTTAACTTAAAATATAATATTTGGAACTTCTGAGATGTTATATTGACCAAGTTAATTACATAAACAAATTTGCTTTGCATCCTAGATGGAAAGTTTTAACTACTGAGTTAAAATGTTGGGATGAAATTCCTTTAGGTTTTTATTCGCTTAGGGTTGAGAGAGGGCCTGGCTGGATGAAGGTTTTGATTTGAGTAGATTTTAGTTTTCTTAAGCGATTTTTGGCCAAGATAGACATTCCCTATTTTAAACAATTTCACTTATTATTTTGCATATCATTCTCACATATATTGTTTGGACAGGTACCTGGAACATGGAGATGGATGTTAGGAGTATCAGGTGTGCCAGCTGTCATTCAGTTTGTCTTGATGCTTTTTATGCCAGAGTCTCCCCGGTGGCTTTTTATGAAGGTACAAAAAATATCTGTCAACTCTTATAAAGTTAATTCTGTGACTTGTGAATTCTCTCTTTTTCGGCACATTATCATATTAACATTCTATATGTACAGAGTGATAAAGATAAAGCCACTTCCATTCTTAATGTACAGAGTGATAAAGATAAAGCCATTTTTCGATTCTTAATGTACAGAGGGATAAAGATAAAGCCATTTCCATTCTTAATGTACAGAGTGATAAAGATAAAGCCATTTCCGTGCTTGCTAGAATTTATGACATTGATCGGTTAGAGGATGAAATTGATCACCTTTCTGCTGCTTCAGAGGAAGAACGCCAGAAAAAGAGTACTGTCAGATACTTGGATGTTTTTAAAAGAAAAGAGATCAGACTTGCATTTCTGGCTGGGGCTGGGCTTCAGGTACGAATTCAGAGTTTACTGGATTATCCTCATTAATTGTACACCACTGATTTTCTTTCTACTGCTAATCAGTGACGTAGTCAGAATTTTTAGTGAGTGAGTTCAAAACATTTAAGTTGATAAATCTACAAAAAAAATTTTTGGGGTCAATATGAATTTAAGTGGGGCCAAATTGTAAATATTATAAAATATAATATTTTTTTATTTTTTTCAAAGTTTGAGTGGGTTCAACATGAATCTCAGTGGGGTCAGAATTGTAAATACTATAATATATAAAGGTTTTTTTATTTTTATTTTTTTAAAAGTTCGAGTGGGTTCAATTGAACTCATATGTTATAGTGTGGCTACGTCCTTGCTGCTAATACAGGTTGAGAGTTATGCATCATCAGCTGTTAAGATGTTAGTTGCCTCTTTTCTTTCCTTTTGGGTAGAGCTTTGTTGTGATGATTCATTGTTCTTATTTGTTTTTTGAATAATACTACACATACATCATTTTCATACAACATTTCTCATACAACATTATGTGGCAAGATATGATTGGGTGAAAGCTTAATTTTAACTTTAAATTAGCCAATCATATCTTACCACATAATGTTGTATGAGAATGATGTATGTATAGTATTACTCTTGTTTTTAATGGACTGTGATTATCAGAAATTTCCCTTTGCAATAAGTGTTTAGATGGTAAGGTTTAGGCAAACTCGCATTAAATGGTGTTAAGAGTTGAATAAATAGACAACATACTACAGACGATTGTTTTTGAATTGTTTACATTTCCATTTGGGTTATCGATATCATTAAAGAGAAGCTGAATGTTTGAAACATTTACTAAGATGAGATAGGTGAAATAGTCAAGCTCAAGTTGGACTAAAGCAGCTCCAAATCTTGTGATGTAGCATCTTAAGTTTTACTTCATGCTTCAGGTTCATATTTTTCTCCAAAGAAAGATCTTTTTAATACCAATTTGTGAACACTCGGGCATGGATTATTATATATATGGAAGTGGATGGATTTAAATTTTGTTGCCAATGCCTGCTATTTTGTTTTTCATACCCTTACAGCTACCTCCCAACTCCAATTTTTACTGCTGGAAGTATTTTGCATATAGGTCACGGTCTCCATTCTTTTTCATTAATTAAATTAGTAGAGCTATATAAAAAATGTTGCACAAAAATTGTCAGAATTATGTAGTGACTTTGAAATCTGTGATTACTCAGGCTTTTCAGCAGTTCACGGGTATAAATACAGTTATGTACTACAGCCCAACAATTGTTCAAATGGCCGGCTTCGAATCAAACCAGCTCGCACTTCTCCTATCTCTCGCTATTGCCGCTTTAAACGCAGTTGGAACAATTGTTGGGATTTACCTAATTGACCATTTTGGAAGGAAAAAGTTGGCCCTCTCAAGTTTATTTGGTGTAGTTTTATCCCTTGTCCTCCTCGCTTGGGCATTCTTTGCCGAATCATCTGGTTCCTCTAGTGGGCTCTATGGGTGGATTGCAGTTCTTGCATTAGCCCTATATATTGCTTTCTATTCACCTGGAATGGGACCTGTGCCATGGACTGTGAACTCCGAGGTGTATCCTGAGCAATACCGAGGGACATGTGGGGGTATGTCCGCTACTGTAAATTGGGTCTCAAACTTGATTGTAGCCCAAAGCTTTCTTTCAGTAGCTGATGCTGTTGGTACCGGAGCCACTTTCTTGATTCTCGCTTGCATTGCTGTACTTGCAATTGTGTTTGTGATCGTATTTGTGCCAGAGACTCAGGGATTGACATTTCTTGAAGTGGAACAGATTTGGAAAGAGAGAGCTTGGGGCACTATTTCCAACACAGAAAGCCTCCTGGAGCATGGAAATGACCCCTAAGGTTCGTGACAACCCAAAACCGGTGTTTCGAGTTTACAGATTTCCAACAGTGTAAAGTTTGTGATAAGGTGAGTAGCATTTTAAAATTAGTACTGAATTTAGAGATTCCGAACATGGTTATAGATCATTGATGTACATGTGGATGCATAAAGTAAAGTTTATTACTAGGAACCCGATCCACGCAGACCATGGAATCAACTTTTATGTTCCATGGTTTAAGAATGTCATCATGGACGGGCATATAAACCTTAGGGATGTACGAGAGACGAGTAGACTGTTGTGTTGATATAAGGCTTGTGTAGTCATGTACTCGAGAGTGATTTGTTGTACCTCTAGTAAAGGTACATTGGAATTGTTTATATTGTTTGTTTTTGTATCAATGAAGCTGTTATTTTGGCTTGATAAACAACGACCAGAGATGGGATTGGAGTGACCAATCTTAGATGTAGTAAGGGTGAAAAATACTTTATTACGAGAAATTAAGATCCTTTCTTGATACGAGTTTTTTTAATCTGAAATCTCTAAACTTTTAATAGGTATTATGTCTTTTAAGTTGAAGAAGCTTTTGAAATTTGAATAATTTTGAAGGAAAGATTGTGTTTCTTTCAATGAGAATTTGCAATATGTGAAATCAAAACCTAATTCATATCTAATGACTATCTATTTGGGAGTCTCTTAGTTTTGCATCAGTGTTTGGGAATTTTTAATTTCTCTATAGGAGATGGAAGGTGGCTCTAACATGGTAATCCAAATTGAACTTTAGACATGTTCCCCACTAGATAAATGAGCAGCCAATGATTCTACTGGATGGGTGCTCATTTATCATCGACTTCCAGTATTAGTTGGTGAGAGTATTGTCATTCTAAAATTCTTATTACTTTAAAACAAGAGAGGTAATACCAGTCTACTAGGAATAGATAAATAGCAGACCGAATTTTGTAACTTTGAGTTAAATTTATGCTTCTGCTTTCTTTGGATAGTGAGGACCTTTCTTTCTTACTGAGTAATTATGAATTTGATTTTAGGTCTATATAGCTCATCCTGGTTGAACTTCTCTTCATTATTTATTTCTAAGAATGTTATCCATTTTAACTTTTTATTGCAGGTGTCATATCAGGAGCCCTTCTGTATATAAAAGTGATTTTGAGGTGGTAAACAGAGTAGTTTCCTGCAGGTAACAACTAGTAAAGTTTCCAAATTTTGTTTTTCTTCTTCTGATGAGATGGTTAGAGTTTATTTACCTTTGATGTATATATTGCATTTTGTGTTATCAAGGGAAAGCAAAATATATATATATATATAATATAAAAAAAAAAAAAAAAAAAAAAAGTTTTTCCTCTTATTGTCTTTGGTTGAGTTGGGAAAAGCAGAGACACTAAATGATTTATGAGCAGTAATGATTGGTATTGATGGTGATGATGGCAATTGAAGCTTGTTATCATAGTGAAATGCCGGCAGTATTCTCTGCAGGATTTGGGGTGCTTGGATGGGTGTTAGGCATGTGAGTTGTGTTTGTTTGTGTGGTTGGGAGAGAGGAGGAAGCAACCTAGAATTTATCCTGCCAGTTCTATGATTTCCTTATTTAATTTTGTTGCTTTTTCTTCTTTTTGAAACATTCTGATTCATTTAAGTTGTCAGGAAAACATTGTGAGCATGGCTTTGGTTGGTGCAATAATTGAGCTGCATCAGGTGGTTGGATTAATGATGCATATGGACGTAAGAAAGCTACTCTTCTTGCTGATATTGTATTTACGCTGAGCAATTGTCATGGCCGCTGCTCCAGATCCATATGTTCTAATATTGGGACGGCTTTTAGTTGGCCTGGGTGTGGGTGTGGCATCTGTAACTGCTCCAGTTATATACTGAAGCAGCCCCATCAGAAGTAAGGTGGACTTGTGAGCACAAATGTACTTATGATAACTGGTGGACAGTTTCTGTCCTACCTCGTAAATCTTGCTTTTACTGAGGTCAGATTTACCTTGCTTTATTTACTTTGCTTTCATCAACGTGCAATATTTTGTAGATACAAAAAATTCCGTGTATAAGAAAGTACTTTGGTTACATGGAATGTCTTTGCTATCATTTGTGTTTTTTCTTATCCAACCTAAAGAGGTCTAATAGCACTGTATGAAAAAGAAGTGAATATTATACTTTTTTTCTTTTTTGGTAGAAATTAAATTGAAATTAGGTTGGCAATGTTTTGCTAACTAGTGTTTGGGCATTCATGCTAGTCAGTAAAATGAAATTTTTGTGAGGAGCTGAATAAATCCATTTAGCCAGAGATTGAGGATAAAAAGACCTTTTGTTCTTATAGATAAACTGATCTTACTTTTTTAAAAGTTATGTGAAAAGCTATGGTACATAACTATTTATAGGAAAAAGGGGGAATGTTGAAGAAGGTTTTAGTAAAATAACTAGGGAATGTGAAGTTTAAAATAACCTTACAAGTAAACTTTGGGGATATTTATAGTTTTCTAATTTAATGAGCTAGGCAGTTATTCGCTTTCCTATTTCTACTTGGTTCAAATTATCATGCAGTCCTGGTGCTATATATCATTGAATACTACAATTGTGAAAGGGGTTATCTAAATTATTGGTTAATAAATCATTTTGTTCTGAAACTAGTGTATAGAATAAAATTTTCCTTTTGCACTTTTTCCGTTATTAGTGAATCGATTATCTGCTTCTTGAAGGAATTGGTTTTCTAAGTTATAGATGTTCTTCTTTTCAATGTGACCATTCTTGCTGGAATTTGTGTCATGTCCCTGCTCATTATATATCTCAGCTTGTGTGAAAGGTTTCTATTTTGCGTTTTAAGAGGCACTACCAAGATAAAATTTCGGGTTTGCATTTAAGAAACCCCCCTTGAGACACATAATTGAAGAATTCTCTCCTTTCTGGCATATTTAGATTACAATAACATTGTGATGTAAATAGCATGTGCATGAGATGGATTCCTCGTTTGGTTAAGTTATTATAGCTGGCTAATGGCAGTGTAAGCTTTGATTTTGATAAAAAGAAAAAGACATGCAAGTGAGTTTAAACCTTTCCATTAAGTGTTATTTGGTTAGCCTTTAAAATTTGGTTGTCTCTTTGATAGAGTGTACAAAAAGCTAGAAAGAGCAGTTTTGTTTCACTGAAGCAAAAAAAAAAAGATTTATTGCTTTTAAAACCAAAACTTTAATTTGTTGTAGAAGCAATGTTCTACTTGGATTTTGGAGTGAAAATGCTGGTGATACCTCTCTTCTCATTCTTGTTTTCACTCTTTCATTTTTCTTTGACATATGTACGAAAGACTAAGAAAGTTGCAAGTTGGTACTATAGTGAGAGTTATTGTTTTTCTCTATGTTAAGAGGAGAGGGAGAGTGACAAATAGTGAGAAAATGAGTGTTGCTAACATTTCTCTTATGTTATGTTAGGATCTACATTAAGGGAAAAGGGTGGGCATGTGGGTTTAAAGGGTTTGACACCCTCCCTTGGCAAGCCGTTTTTCAAGGAGAGTTTTACTCACGCCCACAAAGCCCACTACCAGCCCAATTGTTTGTTGTAGATGGGTTCATCAGTTAATAGTTATAATTCATGATGTGGAAGATTTTTGATCCCATTATCAATTGTGTTGAATGTTTGATAATGCCGGGTCTCTTGTGCTAACTGCCTATATTGGTAATGGTATCTAAGGCTTGCATTAAGTAAGATATTTGCTTATTCTTTAGAACTATAGCTTGGTTAGTTAGCTCTACATTCATTTTTATCTACCACCCCAATTCTTAAGTTTTACTTTGCTGCAGTTTTCATGTTCCGCTTGGCAGCTTTTCTTTTCTTCCGGCAACATGGAAAAATTATTCTGTCCTTGTTCCTGACAAAGGTCACACTTTGTTGGTCCTCTGCATAAGTGTCTCGTTTTTGAAATTTTTTTCCTTTTTTTTTTTTTTTTTGTTTTTGTATTCTTGTTTAGTCCGAAAGCTGTTCTGGAAATAAAATGAATAAGCATGGAATCATCACTCGTAGCATAAAAACGGATTGCATAATTTGGTCTCAGTTCTAGAGAGTGATTTGCATAAATCAGTGCTATACCCACTTATTTAGAAATGTACTATATCAAAAAAAAAAATTTTGCTAATCTCTGTATGTCCATAAATTCGTAAGAAAAGTGGAATGTACTGAAAAGACTTATTCATAGTGTGCAAAATTAATGATGTCTTAACTAAATATAATATTTGGAATTCTGAGATGTTATATTGACCAAGTTAATTACATAAACAAATTTGCTTTGCATCCTAGATGGAAAGTTTTAACTACTGAGTAAATGTTGAGATGAAATTCCTTTAGGTTTTTATTCTCTTAGGGTTGAGAGAGGGCCTGGCTGGATGAAGGTTTTGATTTGAGTAGATTTTAGTTTTCTTAAGCGATTTTTGGCCAAGAAGACATCCTCTATTTAAACAATTTCACTTTATATTTTGCATATCATTCTCACATATTTGTTTGGACAGTACCTGGAACATGGAGATGGATGTTAGGAGTATCAGGTGTGCCAGCTGTCATTCAGTTGTCTTGATGCTTTTTATGCCAGAGTCTCCCCGGTGGCTTTTTATGAAGGTACAAAAAATATCTGTCAACTCTTATAAAGTTAATTCTGTGACTTGTGATTCTCTCTTTTCGGCACATTATCATATTAACATTCTATATGTACAGAGTGATAAAGATAAAGCCACTTCCATTCTTTTTACAGAGTGATAAAGATAAGCCTTTTTCGATTCTTAATGTACAGGATAAAGATAAGCCATTTCCATTCTTAATGTACAGAGTGATAAAGATAAAGCCATTTCCGTGCTTGCTAGAATTATGACATTGATCGGTTAGGATGAAATTGATCACCTTTCTGCTGCTTCAGAGGAAGAACGCCAGAAAAAGAGTACTGTCGATACTTGGATGTTTTTAAAGAAAAGAGATCAGACTTGCATTTCTGGCTGGGGCTGGGCTTCAGGTACGAATTCAGAGTTTACTGGATTATCCTCATTAATTGTACACCACTGATTTTCTTTCTACTGCTCATCGGACATATAAAATATTTTTATAATAATTATTAATAATAAATTAAAACTACCATAATGTATAAATAGTAAAAAAAATTGTAGGTCGGCCTACAAAGCACGCGGGCTGCCCCGTGTGCTAGGCCCACAGCACGCTGTATAGCGGGCCGTGCCGTGGGCTTTCAGATTTGATGGGCCGACATGACATGACAAGTTACGAATTTCTGCGGCTATAGCACAACACGACGAGCCTTGAATTTTAGGCATGACACAGCCCACTATCGGCTCTAGCCAATAGGAGCATTTTAATATTTTCTAGAAAATCTTTGGAAGACTTTAAATCTCTTCGACCAATAAAATTTACCCCAAAATTAATTACTTATGAATGTTCGAGTGGTTCGATAGGAGACTCTTGAGTGTATTACCAAGAGGTCTTGAGTTCTAGTTACTAATAGAGGTAGCTATTATAGTTCTTATCAACTAATAATTCTGATATCCCAAAAGATTAGTTAAAGTGTGCATAAACAGACCAGATAACCCAGCCTTAAAAAAAAAAAAAAAAATTACCCCAAAATTTGAAGTAGAAATCTTAAAAGAACCAGAAAAGCGAGTAAAACCAACGCGAACAAAACGCGCGTAAGGCTGTTGTAATCTCGTGAAAAATGTTGTAGTAACCCTTATCTAGAACGCCACGTTGTAAAAAATTACACGGGTGAGTGCGAAAATAAATTAATTAAAATGATAAAATCACACGACAGTCACAGATTCCTCCAACAAATGTAAGTACTTTATTGGCTGCCTCAGTCACCTGCAAGAACAACCTATCATTTTATATATAAAAATTACGTTTCAAAATTTTCCTTTTAAGTTTTCTCGCCGTCTGGGCTCAGTTTCTTTCTCAACAACCTCTTCCCTTCTTCTTTCCTCCCAAGTTCCCCATGAACAAAAATTTTCCCTAAATTTCGGGAAAATTCGTCGTCTGATAGAATCGAAATCCTTTTCTCAATTCATTTCTGATTCTTCCTTGCCCTCCGTTCTCTCCTCTAGACGACCAAAACGTCGTCGTTGGGAAGACATTGTTGCTCTAAAAAAACTGCTTCAGTTGTCTTCTTTTCGAAGCTTCTCCACAAAATTAAAATCAATCATTTTGTTTTTGCGTTTTTGAATAGACTGGAGTAGTAGCTTTATTTTGACCTCTTTGACTTCCGTGATTTCTTGATAGTTTTAACCGTCGAGAGTCTTGAAGCAATAATCGTTTTTAATATCGTCAAGAATCTTGAAGTGATCAGTTTTGATTGTTTGTTTGTTGAAGTTAATTTCAGTGTAAAACGATGACGTTGGATTCGATTCCCGGTAGTTCGGGTTACTTGGACGCATTCCCGGAGAGGAGAATGTCGTACTTCAGTAACTCGTACGTTCTTGGATTGACGGTAATTGCCGGCATAGGTGGACTCCTATTCGGCTACGATACAGGTATTCTACTTTTTCTTTCTCTTAATTTGCTTCAGTACCAGTAACAGTACCGGATTCTGAGAGATCTCGGTTTTTTAAAAATTTTCGTACTGGTCCGGTAATGTTACATGAGTGATACTTACGGTAGGATTTACAGTTAAGTTTGTTAGTGATGTTAAGCAACAACATTAGCGGTTAGTGTTCTCACTTTGATGTTTAATAATATAAAAGTCTTAACATAATCACACATTTCCGGTGCTTTATTTTGTGCTGTAGGTGTGGGGTAAGTTTGCCACCATTTCAGCCCTTACATCAACTCCAAAAAAGTGATTGGGAGTTGATCCAAGGGCTGAGTATGGGGGGTTATCCTTACCACTCCAGCAACATGGCAGCTTCCACAGTTATTTTAGTGATTTCATCAATTAATGTACAGGGGCGACAGTGATTTGGTCAAGTCACTTTCAAAGATGTTGCTAAAGATGCGTTTTATACTTTTTCTTTCTCTTTTTGACTAAGCATACGGGAGGGGAAAGCTAGTTTCGCCAACTTTTCTGATTTGAAAATGGATTTTAGTTATGTGACATGTTGATAATTTGTGGTTTTTAATGTTATTTTTGATAATGAAAGTAAGAAATTTGGTCTCAAGAATTTAACCTAGTTTCTGTTTGGACTTTAGCTGAAGGGGCTGTTGGAATAAAAATTCTTTGTTTTTTAGAATAAGATAGATATTTCTTTTTGTAAAAGTAACAATTCCATTGTTTTTTTTGGAGTTTCCAAAATTACTTTTTCAATAAATCCTAAAGCTAGTTTAAAATCCAATAACACTAAAAAGTTTGTTTATGGTGTTCTATATCATATTAAGAGGCGTTAGATAGAATAGTATCTTAATTCCAGATAACTTTTTTCAGATTGTGAATGAAACACCCTGACAATTTTAATTTTAATATGAATTCTCTCCCTGCACTTTCCAAATTTTGGATTTGGCCAGATTTATGTAAATATAATATATGGTTCTTGTAGGTGCAAAATTTTTACGAAGATTGGTGTTATAATTTAATGCCATAATTTGCTTAATTTGGGATTTCTCTATAGGAGATGGAAGGTGGCTTTAACATGGTAATCCAAATTGAACTTTAGACATGTTCCCCACTAGATAAATGAGCAGCCAATGATTCTACTGGATGGGTGCTCATTTATCATCGACTTCCAGTATTAGTTGGTGATGAGTATTGTCATTCTAGAAATTCTTATTACTTTTAAAATAAGAGAAGGTAATACCAAGTCTACTAGGAATAGATAAATAAGCAGACCGAATTATTGTAACTTTGAGTTAAATTTATGCTTCTGCTTTCTTTGGATAGTGAGGACCTTTCTTTCTTACTGAGTAAATTATGAATTTGATTTTAGGTGGTATATAGCTCATCCTGGTTGAACTTCTCTTCATTATTTATTTCTAAGAATGTTATCCGATTTTAAACTTTTTATTGCAGGTGTCATATCAGGAGCCCTTCTGTATATAAAAGATGATTTTGAGGTGGTAAAACAGAGTAGTTTCCTGCAGGTAACAAGCTAGTAAAGTTTCCAAATTTTGTTTTTCTTCTTCTGATGAGATGGTAGAGTTTATTTTACCTTTGATGTATATATTGCATTTTGTGGTTATCAAGGGAAAGCAGAAAATATATATATATATATATAAAAAAAGAAAAAAAGAAAAAAAAAGTTTTTCCTCTTATTGTCTTTGGTTGAGTTGGGAAAAGCAGAGAACTAAATGATGGTTATGATGGCAGTAATGATTGGTATTGATGGTGATGATGGCAATTGAAGCTTGTTATCATAGTGAAATGCCGGCAGGATTATTCTTGCAGGAGTTGGGGGTGCTTGGATGGGTGTTAGGCATGTGGAGTTGTGTTTGTTTGTGTGGTTGGGAGAGAGGAGGAAGGCAACCTAGAATTTATCCTGCCAGTTCTATGATTTCCTTATTTAATTTTGTTTGCTTTTTCTTCTTTTGAAACATTCTGATTCATTTAAGTTGTCAGGAAACAATTGTGAGCATGGCTTTGGTTGGTGCAATAATTGGAGCTGCATCAGGTGGTTGGATTAATGATGCATATGGACGTAAGAAAGCTACTCTTCTTGCTGATATTGTATTTACAGCTGGAGCAATTGTCATGGCCGCTGCTCCAGATCCATATGTTCTAATATTGGGACGGCTTTTAGTTGGCCTGGGTGTGGGTGTGGCATCTGTAACTGCTCCAGTATATATAGCTGAAGCAGCCCCATCAGAAGTAAGAGGTGGACTTGTTAGCACAAATGTACTTATGATAACTGGTGGACAGTTTCTGTCCTACCTCGTAAATCTTGCTTTTACTGAGGTCAGATTTACCTTGCTTTATTTACTTTGCTTTCATCAACGTGCAATATTTATGTAGATAAATTCCGTGTATAAGAAATTACTTTGGTTACATGGAATGTCTTTGCTATCATTTTGTGTTTTTTTCTTATTCGAACCTAAAGAGGTCTAATAGCACTGTATGAAAAAGAAGTGAATATTATACTTTTTTCTTTTTTTGGTAGAAATTAAATTGAAATTAGGTTGGCAATGTTTTTGCTAACTAGTGTTTGGGCATTACATGCTAGTCAGTAAAATGAAATTTTTGTGAGGAGCTGAATAAATCACATTTAGCCAGAGATTGAGAAAATAAAAAGACCTTTTGTTCTTATAGATAAACTGATCTTACTTTTTTAAAAGATATGTTGAAAAGCTATGGTACAAAACCTATTTATAGGAAAAAAGGGGGAATGTTGAAGAAGGTTTTAGTAAAATAACCTTAGGGGGAATGTTGAAGAAGGTTTTAGTAAAATAACCTTACAAGTAAACTTTGGGGATATTTATATGTTTTCTAATTTAAATGAGCTAGGCAGTTATTCGCTTTCCTATTTCTACTTGGTTCAAATTATCATGCAGCTCCTGGTGCTATATATCATTGAATACTACAATTGTGAAAGGGGTTATCTAAATTATTGGTTAATAAATCATTTTGTTCTGAAACTAGTGCATAGATATAACATTTTCCTTTTTGCACTTTTTCCGTTATTAGTGAATTGATTTTCTGCTTCTTGAAGGAATTGGTTTTCTAAGTTATAGATTGTTCTTCTTTTCAATGTGACCATTCTTGCTGGAAATTTGTGTCATGTCCCTGCTCATTATATATCTCAGCTTGTGTGAAAGGTTTCTATTTTGCAGTTTTGAAGAGGCACTACCAAGATAAAATTTCGGGTTTGCATTTTAAGAAACCCCCCTTGAGACACATAATTGAAGAATTCTCTCCTGTTTTCTGGCATATTTTAGATTACAATAACATTGTGATGTAAATAGCATGTGCATGAGATGGATTCCTCATTTAGTTAAGTTATTATAATGCTGGCTAATGGCAAGTGTAAGCTTTGATTTTAGATAAAAAGAAAAATGACATGCGAAGTGAGTTTGAAAGTTTTTCTTCAATAAATAGTTTCCATTAAGGTGTTATTTGGTTAGCCTTTAAAATTTTGGTTGTCTCCTTGAATAGAGTTGTACAAAAAGCTAGAAAGAGCAGTTTTGTTTCACTGAAGCAAAAGAAAAAAAGATTTTATTGCTTTTAAAACCAAAACTTTAATTTGTTGTAGAAGCAATGTTCTACTTGGATTTTGGAGTGATAAATGCTGGTGATACTCTCTTTCTCATTCTTGTTTTCACTCTTTCATTTTCTTTTTGACATATGTACGAAAGACTAAGAAAGTTGCAAGTTGGTACTATAGTGAGAGTTATTGTTTTTCTCTATGTTAAGAGGAGAGGGAGAGTGACAATATAGTGAGAAAATGAGTGTTGCTAACATTTCTCTTATAGGTTAATGTTAGGATCTTACATTGAAAGGGAAAAGGGTGGGCATGTGGGTTATAAAGGGTTTGGACACCCTCCCTTGGCAAGCCGGTTTTTCAAGGAGAGTTTTACTCACGCCCACAAAAGGCCCACTACCAGCCCAATTGTTTGAGTTGTTAGATGGGTATCTATCAGTTAATAGGTTAATATATTCATGATGTGGAAGATTTTTGATCCCATTATCAATTGTGTTGAATGTTTGATAATGCCGGGTCTCTGGTGCTAACTGCCTTATATTGAGTAATGGTATCTAAGGCTTGCATTAAGTAAGATATTTGCTTATTCTTTAGAACTATAGCTTGGTTAGTTAGCTCTACATTCATTTTTATATCTTACCACCCCAATTCTTAAGTTTTACTTTGCTGCAGTTTCTCATGTTCCAGCTTTGGCAGCTTTTCTGTTTCTTCGGCAACATGGAAAAATTATTCTGTCCTTGGTCCTGACAAAGGTCACACTTTGTTGGTCCTCTGCATAAGTGTCTCGTTTTTGAAATTTTTTTCCTTCTTTTTTTTTTTTTTTTTTTTGTTTTTGGTAATCTTGTTTAGTCCGAAAGCTGTTCTGGAAATAAAATGAATAAGCATGGAAGTCATCACTCCGTAGCATAAAAACGGATTGCATAATTTGGTCTCAGTTCTAGAGAGTGATTTGCATAAATCAGTGCTATACCACTTATTTAGAAATGTACTATATCAAAAAAAAAATATTTGCTTAATCTGCTGTATGTCCATAAATTCGTAAGAAAAGTGGAATGTACTGAAAAGACTTATTCATAGTGTGCAAAATTAATGATGTCTTAACTTAAAATATAATATTTGGAAGTTCTGAGATGTTATATTGACCAAGTTAATTACATAAACAAATTTGCTTTGCATCCTAGATGGAAAGTTTTAACTACTGAGTTAAAATGTTGAGATGAAATTCCTTTAGGTTTTTATTCTCTTAGGGTTGAGAGAGGGCCTGGCTGGATGAAGGTTTTGATTTGAGTAGATTTTAGTTTTCTTAAGCGATTTTTGGCCAAGACAGACATCCTCTATTTTAAACAATTTCACTTATTATTTTGCATATCATTCTCACATATATTGTTTGGACAGGTACCTGGAACATGGAGATGGATGTTAGGAGTATCAGGTGTGCCAGCTGTCATTCAGTTTGTCTTGATGCTTTTTATGCCAGAGTCTCCCCGGTGGCTTTTTATGAAGGTACAAAAAATATCTGTCAACTCTTATAAAGTTAATTCTGTGACTTGTGAATTCTCTCTTTTTCGGCACATTATCATATTAACATTCTATATGTACAGAGTGATAAAGATAAAGCCACTTCCATTCTTAATGTACAGAGTGATAAAGATAAAGCCATTTTTCGATTCTTAATGTACAGAGGGATAAAGATAAAGCCATTTCCATTCTTAATGTACAGAGTGATAAAGATAAAGCCATTTCCGTGCTTGCTAGAATTTATGACATTGATCGGTTAGAGGATGAAATTGATCACCTTTCTGCTGCTTCAGAGGAAGAACGCCAGAAAAAGAGTACTGTCAGATACTTGGATGTTTTTAAAAGAAAAGAGATCAGACTTGCATTTCTGGCTGGGGCTGGGCTTCAGGTACGAATTCAGAGTTTACTGGATTATCCTCATTAATTGTACACCACTGATTTTCTTTCTACTGCTAATCAGTGACGTAGTCAGAATTTTTAGTGAGTGAGTTCAAAACATTTAAGTTGATAAATCTACAAAAAAAATTTTTGGGGTCAATATGAATTTAAGTGGGGCCAAATTGTAAATATTATAAAATATAATATTTTTTTATTTTTTTCAAAGTTTGAGTGGGTTCAACATGAATCTCAGTGGGGTCAGAATTGTAAATACTATAATATATAAAGGTTTTTTTATTTTTATTTTTTTAAAAGTTCGAGTGGGTTCAATTGAACTCATATGTTATAGTGTGGCTACGTCCTTGCTGCTAATACAGGTTGAGAGTTATGCATCATCAGCTGTTAAGATGTTAGTTGCCTCTTTTCTTTCCTTTTGGGTAGAGCTTTGTTGTGATGATTCATTGTTCTTATTTGTTTTTTGAATAATACTACACATACATCATTTTCATACAACATTTCTCATACAACATTATGTGGCAAGATATGATTGGGTGAAAGCTTAATTTTAACTTTAAATTAGCCAATCATATCTTACCACATAATGTTGTATGAGAATGATGTATGTATAGTATTACTCTTGTTTTTAATGGACTGTGATTATCAGAAATTTCCCTTTGCAATAAGTGTTTAGATGGTAAGGTTTAGGCAAACTCGCATTAAATGGTGTTAAGAGTTGAATAAATAGACAACATACTACAGACGATTGTTTTTGAATTGTTTACATTTCCATTTGGGTTATCGATATCATTAAAGAGAAGCTGAATGTTTGAAACATTTACTAAGATGAGATAGGTGAAATAGTCAAGCTCAAGTTGGACTAAAGCAGCTCCAAATCTTGTGATGTAGCATCTTAAGTTTTACTTCATGCTTCAGGTTCATATTTTTCTCCAAAGAAAGATCTTTTTAATACCAATTTGTGAACACTCGGGCATGGATTATTATATATATGGAAGTGGATGGATTTAAATTTTGTTGCCAATGCCTGCTATTTTGTTTTTCATACCCTTACAGCTACCTCCCAACTCCAATTTTTACTGCTGGAAGTATTTTGCATATAGGTCACGGTCTCCATTCTTTTTCATTAATTAAATTAGTAGAGCTATATAAAAAATGTTGCACAAAAATTGTCAGAATTATGTAGTGACTTTGAAATCTGTGATTACTCAGGCTTTTCAGCAGTTCACGGGTATAAATACAGTTATGTACTACAGCCCAACAATTGTTCAAATGGCCGGCTTCGAATCAAACCAGCTCGCACTTCTCCTATCTCTTGCTATTGCCGCTTTAAACGCAGTTGGAACAATTGTTGGGATTTACCTAATTGACCATTTTGGAAGGAAAAAGTTGGCCCTCTCAAGTTTATTTGGTGTAGTTTTATCCCTTGTCCTCCTCGCTTGGGCATTCTTTTCCGAATCATCTGGTTCCTCTAGTGGGCTCTATGGGTGGATTGCAGTTCTTGCATTAGCCCTATATATTGCTTTCTACTCACCTGGAATGGGACCTGTGCCATGGACTGTGAACTCCGAGGTGTATCCTGAGCAATACCGAGGGACATGTGGGGGTATGTCCGCTACTGTAAATTGGGTCTCAAACTTGATAGTAGCCCAAAGCTTTCTTTCAGTAGCTGATGCTGTTGGTACCGGAGCCACTTTCTTGATTCTCGCTTGCATTGCTGTACTTGCAATTGTGTTTGTGATCGTATTCGTGCCAGAGACTCAGGGATTGACATTTCTTGAAGTGGAACAGATTTGGAAAGAGAGAGCTTGGGGCACTATTTCCAACACAGAAAGCCTCCTGGAGCATGGAAATGACCCCTAAGGTTCGTGACAACCCAGAACCGGTGTTTCGAGTTTACAGATTTCCAACAGTGTAAAGTTCGTGATAAGGTGAGTAGCATTTTAAAATTAGTACTGAATTTAGAGATTCCGAACATGGTTATAGATCATTGATGTACATATGGATGCATAAAGTAAAGTTTATTACTATGAACCCGATCCACGCAGACCATGGAATCAACTTTTATGTTCCATGGTTTAAGAATGTCATCATGCACGGGCATATAAACCTTAGGGATGTACGAGAGACGAGTAGACTGTTGTGTTGATATAAGGCTTGTGTAGTCATGTACTCGAGAGTGATTTGTTGTACCTCTAGTAAAGGTACATTGGAATTGTTTATATTGTTTGTTTTTGTATCAATGAAGCTGTTATTTTGGCTTGATAAACAACGACCAGAGATGGGATTGGAGTGACCAATCTTAGATGTAGTAAGGGTGAAAAATACTTTATTACGAGAAATTAAGATCCTTTCTTGATACGAGTTTTTTTAATCTGAAATCTCTAAACTTTTAATAGGTATTATGTCTTTTAAGTTGAAGAAGCTTTTGAAATTTGAATAATTTTGAAGGAAAGATTGTGTTTCTTTCAATGAGAATTTGCAATATGTGAAATCAAAACCTAATTCATATCTAATGACTATCTATTTGGGAGTCTCTTAGTTTTGCATCAGTGTTACAGATGCTAACTGTTGAGATTAAGTAAATATTGGACATTGTTTCATTCTTTATAATTAACTAAGGGTTAAGTTATGTAACACAAATTTTGACACAAAAACAAATTTTAGCCATTGATTCAATATAATCAATAGATTTGGATGAGAAGTTGAATTTGTTAAATTTTAATGTAACTAGACAATTTTTAAGTCATTGGATCATCATGAATTAATAGTCATGAATTGTGGTTACAATAGTATGAACCTTAAACTAATCTTAAGAGATATATTGGTTATCAAAAACTCATGAGATTATATATATATATATATAATATATATATAATATATATAATTATATATATGAAAATGTCAAAAATAACTCATGGTTGAATATTTAATAAATTAAAAGATTGTGGCATTTGAAACTTATCCATCTCCAAATTTATGATAAAGATGAATATTAAATATTTTTCCTTACGAAAAGGTAAAGGGCAATCAATGGAGATATAATTGGTTCATGCGGCTTTAGCACTTGATCAATTTATAAACTTCAACTGGTATAAAATAAAGAGATTTTCATATATAAACTTAATAAATTATGAACCCACAAAACGTACCAATGACAATTTTGCCACTATAACAATGCGAGACTAAACAAACGAACAGTTAAGTACCAGACAGTATACTGATGGGCCATTTGTCTGCCTTCACTGCCTTACTTTCTAGTTCTTATCATCTCCGCAGATTGCCTAAAATTAAGCGCGTGTCTTCACCTTCTTCATGTTTAGATGTTAATTTTTGAGTAAAAAAAAAAAATATTAAGTAGAAGGACTCCATAGGAAAATAGAGGTAAATGTAATGACATTTAGTTCTTGATGTTTTTAAAAATAAAAATTTCTCCACTGTTAATAGTTGTAAGTAAGTTGTATAATTTATATTATTATGAATTAGTAAAATTACAAAATTGTCCTTCTATTGTTTATTTTAACACATAAAATTTCATTGAAGAATTTATTATTATTTCAAAAACTTTAAGGGGATTTGTTTTATGTCATACCTTAGGGATTAATTATTAACTCTAAAAATTATGATAAAGTAAAAATGATTTAATTAGCATTTTTCTGAAATTTGTTATTGAATCAAGCACATCATTTTCATTTTAAAATTGACTTTAGTTTGGTAAAAATAAGAAAGGCCAATAATAAAAAGTACCTAGTTTATATTTTTTCAATATCAAAAATTGATCTTAGGACATAATAGATAATATTTAAAAATTTGAAATTTGAAAGATGAAATAAATATTTAATGTCCGTTTGGTTTGTTATTTGGATAGGATTTTAGAAATAATATGGGTAGGGTGATTATTACAGGTAAAATTTAAAAATTAACAAAAAAAGCCAATAGGTTTGCTAATTTAACTAAACACCCCAATATCTAAAAATTTTGAAATAACAAAAACACCCCATACCCACAGTGCCAAATCCGGCACCATCATCTGAATCGGGTCAGAATATGACGTTATGACCTAGACTGGTCGGATCTGGCAGGAAAAGGCAGATCTGGCCGTCTATGGCCGCAAAAGTGGATCTGGGCGAAAAAAGGCCAGATCAGTGAATTAGTGGCCAGTTCCGGTCGTTTGTACAACGTTATGACAGATTTCGCCTACCACGATGGTGGTTGTCGGAATCTGGCAACTATGGGTGGGTGGGGGTGTTTTTGTTAATTTTTAAACTTTTTTCTGAGGGTGTTTAATTAAATTAATAAACTTAAGGGTTCAAAGTAATTGAATAAAATTAATAATATTTCTATAATGACAAACAGTTATTTTGAAATATGATTGGGAATGGGTATGAAATATAAACCAAACGGACCTATTATTGATAAAATCTAAAATTAAGCGTGTGTACTTCACCTACTTCATGTTTAGACGAATAATAGATTTGCAAATGAAACTTTTATATCATCAATACATTATACAATAACAATTATCCTCCACGGAATTTGATGTTTGAAAAGCAATATTGTTGGTACCCTAAACACATCAAATACATAAATCATATAACGAAGCCTATAAAAAGTACTAATTCTTAAAGATAAACTATAATTCAACAAACCAATTGAGTAGATTTAAGGTAATACGGAACCATAAATTATTAAGTTTAGGGAATATTGAGTTTTATATTTTTCTTAATATGTAATGAATTAATTAAATTTGTATAATATGGTATGGATCTTATTTATTATAATCTAACTATTCCATTATTCTTATTTTGCCATTTATTTATTTTTGGTTGTCTGTGTGTGTTTCTTATCAAGCTCGGAGAAGTCAGAAGTTAGTGAGATTATAGCTCGATCCAGAATCAGTTCGATGAATTGATTGTCCGACCCAACATAAGCTCGCCGAGATGTAGCTCGACCTAGCACAAGCTAGTTGCGACCAATCCCTATAGTTGTTCAACCAGCTCACAGATAACCTCGGATCGAATATCGAAAGGGTTCAGATCGACAGTAATCTCGACGCAATCTCAACGCTTAATCGCGAGAATATCGGAGTTGCATTTCAATTTAATTTTAATTCTTTTATTTTCGCTCTTTCCATTGTACAAAATCTGTATATAAACCCCCCAATGATGAGAAAGGGGGTCAGCAATTATTAGGATCATTATTGTAAACTCTCAAGCAAGTACAAAAACATTGCATGTAGGCTCAAGAGTATAACTCACTGAGCCACTTTAAAAACTCATTGTGCACTATTTTACTGCTTTTGGTTCATTACATTGTGGTTATCCATAATCATGCACAAATGAGTTCCAATTCGTTAAGATCAATCGGATTGCTCTAGTTAGTGCAAATATTGTATCAACATTTTGGCGCTAGAAGGGGGCCTCCGTCAAATTTTAGAATTTCCGGCGAACAATCCCAGTGACTCGATCATCAAGGCCTACAATTTTTTGTACAAGATTAAAACAACCACCAGAAACGACAACAACATGGAAACCGCTCACTAGGGGTTGCATCAAGATGCCACTAGGTGTCGACCACTAGTGCCGTGGTGCAGCAAGGGGCAAGGACGTTGAATCCCGAGAATGGTCAACTGGGGGAGATGATCAGAACAATGGTTGCACAGGCAGTGTAACAAAACGTGGTTAAGTTGAGAAACCAGTAGCGACACCCCAAGACCTTGATCGTCGAGTTCACCGATGTCACCCAATAGGTCAGAATTCAGCCGGTGACTAAGCAAACAACCCATAAGGGAGGATGAAGATAATGGTGCACCGGAGGGATACTCGACCTGTTCGACAATATCCCCAATGTTAACGTGCCGATTTTAACCCATGCCAAAGGGAACTAAAACCTGCAAGCTCGCGAGATGAGTCATACGCACCACCGACAATGATCGACGTTTCGATTTTAACTAACGTCGCGAGCAACGCACTGATGAGTATGATAACACCTACCAGCTCCGCCATCATGACTCAACCTCGCGCATCAGTGTGCACATAAGGTCACAAGCAATAGATTTGCAAACTCACCTGCTCAAAGTGAGGCTGAATAGAGCTAGCTAGGGCAATCCCATAACGAAGAATACATCGGGTGCAAAGAATGCTCGAAGTTCTAAGAGCCCGTAAGAACAACATGGTGAAAGAAATAGTGAGCACTCCATTCACAGACGAAGTTCGCCAGGCCCCGCTTCCTCAAGGATTAAGATGCCAAAGAGCAAGTTTGACGGGAAAGGGGACCAAAGACCACTTAGACTTTTTCAACAACTTGATGGAGTTACATCAGGTCGTGACTTGGCAAAATGTCGTTGCTTTGTTGTCACATGGTAGGGGATGCCAATAGGTGGTACAAGAGGCTCAAGGTAAACTGATTAGTCTTGGCAACAATTCTTTCGTTGTACCCATATAATTCCAAGCGAGGAGACGGTTCGCAATGCCACTCAACTACTTGAGCAATATTCGTCAGGAGAAAGATGAAACGTTGACCTCGTATCTAACGAGGTTCTAGAATGAACAGACAGGTCATAGATGCATTTGAAGAGTCAATCTAGACTTTGCTAATTGCGGGTATCAGGCTATAGACGGAGATGTGGAAGAGCTCCAAAGTGAAGAACACGTGAGCCTGACAAAATTCTACCAAATGGCTCCTAAACATTAGTGAGTGAAAGCTCGCTAGCGACCCTAGCAAAGCTCGCCACGAAGAGCACCAGATAGGAGACAAGATTGCTCATTAGATAAATGAAGGGGCTAAGACCGCAATGAAAGGGGCTAGAACAGGTTCCAAAAAAGGCAAAAAAAAAAAAAAAAAATCATGGGGAAAGGCAACCTTTTCCGCGATATGCAGGTACACCCCCCTCACTTAAGACATAACTATATATATAAAGTTTGTGAGGTTAAGAGATGAGAGGGGCTCTAGTAGAAGAGATTGATAGAATACTTTCGATCACTGGGACATCGGGCATATCACCAATGAGTGTTGGGTCCTAAAGGATGCCATGAAGATGATCTGAAGAGGCCACCTAAAAGAATTTGTCAAGGAGGCACCAGCTCGTGAAAGTACAGGTGAGCAGAATAATCAGATCCAGCAAGCCCCGATCAACAACGAGTCTTGATAGGCATGATCTATGAGGGTCCCAACAGCGGGAAGCTCAAGGGCTTTTAGAGAATATGGGTAAAAGGCTAGGGCAGACTCGGTCTCTCG